TCGATTGCGCGCTGACTTTCCAGCCACACAAAATCGAAATTACGACCAGCCATGTCTCGAGCTCACCAGCAAAGAAGGTTACTAGACTATGCATATGTATTGCAGCGCACCTCTGAGGACATTTGAGGCTTACACCAAGTGGTCCGAGGAAGGCCATCAGCGATTGCTCCTCAGCTTCAGACTTGAGCCCCGGGTTGAATTTTGCACTTTGGTTGGCGCGCCATGTCTCGCAGCGCAATGGGGTCAAGTGTTCATTATGGCGACAGCAGTTCCCACATTTGTTCGTGGTACGCCGTGTACTACGTGTGTGTACCCTCTCTAACAACATGGGGCCGAACAATTGCACCACGGAGATCCGGTGGAGGTTTGAAGTGGTGTCAGCAGTAATGGATAATCGACTACTACCTGCTTTTTTTTTTCTCGAACGGGCAATATCTCTGTGTTCGAGTGTATGTCTTCCTTCGGCACTTTTCCCTTGTCAACAAAATGCTGCTGCTTGTGACCGCGGTACCTCCAACACCACGGCAATGCTGTGAACGACATTGCTGTGGTTGCATGTACCTCAATCTGCGTGTTCACAGTGTTGTTCAAAACGAGCAGTAGCTTGTTTAACGGTTAACGCCATCCGTGCGAAGAACGGTGGGCAAGGACTGCTGTTCCCTTCAAAAAATATTTCAATTGAAAGAACCGACAGAAAAGAAGGCACCCAGAGAAAGACAAAGTGAGAAAAAACGGGGGGGATGCCCGCGTCAACCGACAAGGGTTGGGTAACATTGCCACCTCATCCTACTATCGGTACAATTGGGGTGTGTTTTAGGGCCGTTTTTTTTTCCAGGTGCAAGCCTACAGATTCGTACAACAGCAGCAATACAGAAAGCAACATACCAACATACCGGCCACGGAAAAGGCTTTCCTACTACCCTTGGCGGCATATCGCGTTTCACCTGTTTGCTAGCTCTCACTCTTGCCGTTTTGGTAATTTTCTACCNCATCCTACTATCGGTACAATTGGGGTGTGTTTTAGGGCCGTTTTTTTTTCCAGGTGCAAGCCTACAGATTCGTACAACAGCAGCAATACAGAAAGCAACATACCAACATACCGGCCACGGAAAAGGCTTTCCTACTACCCTTGGCGGCATATCGCGTTTCACCTGTTTGCTAGCTCTCACTCTTGCCGTTTTGGTAATTTTCTACCGTCCGTTTGCACGAATCCGAAACTACGTCGTATGATAACATGTTGCTCCAGCTCTCGCCCTTCTCTCGACTTGCTTCGATTACGGCGCATTTCTCGAACTGTACTTGCCGACATTGCTTCGCAGGTTGATGGGCGCCCGCGTCCCAAACAGTTGATGGGATTCAGAGAGGGCGAGCCCAAACAACATTCCGGCAGCAACGCAAGTAGTGCCTCACGAGACCTCCCAGCACTTAAAACCGTTTGATCTTGCCCTTACGAAATACCCAATTCTCCGCCCCTGCCGTTCTGAACAGATGGTGGCCATGGACGCTGGCCACCTCAAGGGTTCGTGGAAGGGAGTCATGTACGACGTCCTCTGCATGCACGAAAGCAAAAACAAGATCATCCACGTCAACACCGTACTCGCAGACAAGGAGAACGCGACGAACTACAAGTTCCTGCTCCAGCAGACCTGCCGGAACGAGCACATGCATCGACTTCTTTCGTCCGGCGAGGTGACGTTCTTCATCGACGGTCACAAAGGATCACCGGCGGCCCTCAGGGCGGTTGTACCGCAAGCGCCATGGAGTGCGTGCGTGAGGCACCTCATCACCAACATTAACATGAAGGCAATGGGACACGTGAGTAGAATTTGGGGAATAGTGACCTTTGTTTTGGGGGTTTTCCAAATGAAATGATCAAGAGTTTCGCTGCATGTCGTCGCGCACAGCAACCTTTATTAATATGTGTAGAGTATCGGACAGCCAATAGAACATTCAGCTCGCTTACAGAACTCGAAAGTTCTGTGAATTCTGTGACGGCTCACCACAATACCCTATATAGTTCTGTGAGTTCTGTTACAGATCCAGTACCCTACCGAACTTTTCTGTGAGTTCTGTGACAGACCCTACCGAAGGTACCCTTACCCTACAGAACCTACCCTACGAAGAGCCCCAGTTTCACCGAGCATTGATTTCTAAACCCACTTTCCTCGTTTAGTTTTGTTTCCTCTGGGAAGTGGGGAGGGTAGGATTGTTGACGGACAAGCAAGAAAAAGCTGGGAAACGTTGCATTTTTCGTGCGCTTTTTTTTTGGCAGGAGTTGGATTTCTAAGCCGACCGTCTTTCGCGTTTCGCCTGGAAAGTTCAGGATTGGGGTCGAGGGTCCGTGCGTACGCGCGCACGTTTCAATTTATCTTGAATCTTGGTCAAGGCACAAAAGTGTGCAAGTACAAATTAAAACTCACGCGGTTACCGCTGGTTCAGCGCTCACTTTTAATGAATTGGAAAGAGGTACTGGGTAGAGAGACCGGGATGGTTTTGTAAAGTGAAGACAACAACAACAACAACAACAACAATAACAACCGCGGGTAGGTACCGTCTTCGACTACCCCACAAACGAGTTCTGTGAGTTCTGTGAAGGTCGCGCCGCAATACCCGATAGTTCTGTGAGTTCTGCGACAGACCCAGTACCCTACCGAACTTTCTGTGACAGCTCGCTTACAGAACTCGAAGGTTCTGAAAGTTCTGTGACGGCGCACCACAATATCCTATAGTTCTGTGAGTTCTGTGAAGGTCGCGCCGCAATACCCGATAGTTCTGTGAGTTCTGCGACAGACCCAGTACCCTACCGAACTTTCTGTGACAGCTCGCTTACAGAACTCGAAGGTTCTGAAAGTTCTGTGACGGCGCACCACAATATCCTATAGTTCTGTGAGTTCTGTGAAGGTCGCGCCGCAATACCCGATAGTTCTGTGAGTTCTGCGACAGACCCAGTACCCTACCGAACTTTCTGTGACAGCTCGCTTACAGAACTCGAAGGTTCTGAAAGTTCTGTGACGGCGCACCACAATATCCTATAGTTCTGTGAGTTCTGTGACAGAACCAGCACCCTACCGAACTTTTCTGTGAGTTCTGTGACAGACCCAGTACCCTACCGAACTTTTCTGTGAGTTCTGTGACAGACCCAATACCCTACCGAACGTACCCTTACCCTACAGAACCTACTCGTGGAACATTTCCCTGCTGGTGGAGTCCAGGTGCACAAGATGAGGCACTGGCCCAACTCGAAAACTTGACCATCACCCCCCCAGAGAGCCAGAAAGTTCTTCTTTGGTACAATATTGCCTCGTCGTTGGAATTTCAGCCCATTTCTCGCAAACCGCATGTACCGTATATTGGGGGACACGTCGTGTGCTACTTGCGACGACGCTTCACGCGTAGTTTGAGCGGATCACGTGTTAGGGTGTGAGGGATG